ACGTTCTCACCAAGGGTCATCATGGGACTTCAGGACACCCTGTAGAATTTCAGCACTGGCAGTAAATTTCGGAACGCAATCATAATATATCTAGACCGAGCGTTGAAAAGTGAGGGTGCCTCCCCATGCGGCGTAACTTGGACTGCGTTCGGAAAGTGTACCCGTCACCCAAGTGTACCCGTTATGTTGGAGTGAGCGAGATACAAGAGTGAGATAAAAAGAAAGGAAGAGTACTCGAGTGACGTTTTCGAACGCAGCCTTGCATAAGCGTAACTTGCGCCAACCAATCACATCATCTCATTTAAGTACCAGTTTCACGTAGTTATTTTGTGCTCTTTGCTATTTTTGTTACGCCAAATCCAATTTTTGACTGTATTAGTAAGCGTATCTTTTAGTGTCGTTTGAACTAAGAAGTATGATGTAGTGGATATTGTCACATATAAAAAGTTTTGCAAAACAATAATAAGAAATAGATTAGGATCAAATCAGGATAAGTTAAAAAATAGCTTTATATCGAGTTTATTATATAATGTTGTAATAGTGTTCTGTCATATCCGATTCACTACTCAGGGCATGTCGATACAAAATTTTTTAAGGTTACATTTGTATATCAATAAAGTGTTTGTGTTGCTTGCATTTTTGCATGTAAAAGCTTTCCCATATAGCACAGAAGCTTGCAGTTACGTTGCAGGAATGTTACATCACTTCAAATTTCAACGTAACACATTGTAGAAACATAGCGTAGACATGGAATTGTAACATTTTATCGGAAATGTTAAAACAACATTGCAGAAACATTATAAGTAATTAAAAACTATAATGTTATAATTTATGCATAATACACGTATGATATATGCGTTTTTTTAAGATACAATTAATGTAATAATGTAATTCGGTTGATATATGAAAATATATATTATATTTTAGAGCAAAAGAACGATGCTTTGCAAGAAGCCTTAATAGAAGCATTGAAAGAACCAACAGCGCATGTTACTGATCCGCTAGATGGATTTTTAGCACGGTTGGGAAAAGGCATGCGAAGGCTGCCATATCGCGACAGAGCTTGTCTGGAAATACAATTTTTGACGTTGCTCGTCGAAAAGGAAGATCTTTGTGCTTACAATAATCCAAATACTGAACAATCAATACGGTATTAGCTAGAAACGTTTTTATTTTTATTTTACGAAAATATTTAATAATTTTTTATTTTTATTTATTACGAAAAGTTAATGAATGATAGTTTATATATATATATATATATATATATATATATATATATATATATATATATACATTTATCTTCTTAAACACTTTTTATAAATCTAATAAATAATACTTGTGAAAAGTCGTTTATCAGTACAACAAATAAAACAAAATAATATCTGTTCATTTCGATCATAAAATATATATTTCGATATGAAGTCGGATGCAAAATAAATTTAATTCAGAATATATATAATATTTTTATTTTATTTTTGAGTTTTTTTAATTTATGTTTTATTAAAGTTCTATAAATTGTTTTTATTTTTGGTATCGCTTTATTAAAAACGCAGAAATATAAATATATTACATTTTCCAATCATTTGTGTATCAATCTGCATGTCACTCCTTTACGAACTGTCGGAAAATGAGTCACATATACTTTACACAGTCTAGTAAAGTTAAAAAATAAAAAATTCAGTTTTTCTTAGAGTAAAGGGACTAAGTATA